AGCTTCTGCTTCATGGAGGGAGACTGCAAACATGCAGCCATAACACACACACTGACTCACAAGAGTGTGTTTATCTATGTGTGTGTGTGCGTGTTTCTATTTAAGTGTTCATACGTGTGTGTGTTCATATTTTATGTGTTTATGTGTGTGTTTATATTTGATGAGTAGTAGTGTGTGTGTGTGTGTGTGTGTGTGTGTGTGTGTGTGTGTGTGTGTGTGTGTTCGTACCTCTCCCACTCGGACGCGGTGGTGAAATCCGTGATCTCAAACACTTCAGACTCGGGCTGAAAGAGAAAACAGCGACAGGTGACAGTCAGGGCAGAGAATACAGCAGATGTGTGGCATAATGATAGCACATCTAAAGAACACACAATTACGACACCATATGAAGAAACTGATGATGAAGATGCGCATTTACACAGAAACTCACATCACTGTCGGCCGCCATCTTGGCTCTCTGTTTATTCCTGTCCTGGTGCATTGTGGGAAACGACGTCCCGCAGCTCTGACACGTCAGCCAGTGTGTTAGTTCAACTTTTTTAATTTAAATAAACAATTCTGCTTGAAATAGTATTTAAATACACTGAAATAAAAGTTTCATAGAACAAAAGGAACTGTAAACAAATATTTTCAGAGGCTAATTTGATTCGTTTTGGTTAAGTTACTACCTTCAGTGGTTTGAGGATGCTGTGAAACTCAGTAGGCGGAGCTAGTGTTTCTTCCCGATAAACTTCTGGTGAACGGTTAATGTGACTTTATTTCCTTTTTATTTGGCTCCTTTTACAGTATCGATGGTGTAATGTAATTAAAATATAATCAGTTAAATAGACTTTGGCATTCATTTAGTTGCTAAAGCGTTAAACGAGACTCGAGAATCAGCCAGTGCAGGAGCTCCATTAAATATACTGGGGTCAAATAAATGCTCATATTATAAAGACATGGCGGGGAAAATGTCATTTAATGCAGTGCTTCTTGTACAATCTGAGACCCACTTTATATCAGATATCACTGATCGCTGATTTTTTAAAGAAAACAGACCTTAAACGAGCTGATTTTGCAATGCCATACAGTTCACCTGAAGCGCCTGGGTCCTTCCGCATACTTCTGCATATACCCTGTTCCTAGAGGGCCGTAGCTCTGCACAGTTTAGTTCCGACCCTGCTCCAACACATTTAAGCTGCAGTCACACTGGGCTTTTCCCCCATAGACTTCCATTCATATGCACGCAAATGCGTCAGACCGGAAACGCAAGCTTGTGCGTCACGCTTTGCAGTTTACCGCGTTGCAAAGTTCAAGCTTGGTAAACTCTGACCTGCGTCACTTGACTGTGAGACCAACCGAGGATTAAAACATGACCTCTCTGGACAGAAATTTAAAACATGGAGCAATCGCTCGCTTATTTAATGTCTTATCATCTTGTTTAATCCTGCCCCTTTTCACAGCGCCGTACAACAGAATTTCTCAAGCTCAAACTCTGGTGTGACCGCAGCTTCACCTGCAGGTTTTAAACAAGCCTGAAGGACTCAATGAGTTTGATGAGGTGCGTTTAATTAGAGTTGAAGCTAAACTGTGCAGAGCTGCGGCCCTCCAGGAACTGAGCAGAGTTAAATACGTTTTTGTTGCATAATTATCCATTATGAACCAGTTTCAGTCATAGTTTTTAGCATTTTAATATATTTTAAAGTATTACAATAAAGGTAGTTTGGTGTCACATTCAGAATAATTCTGATTATTATTTACAAATGTTCATTATAAAAACATGTATAAAACATGCATCATTATTAAACATTTTTCTTTCAAATGTATAACATAAATATAATTTCACAAATCATCTAAATCAATACCTCTTCACTTATTTCACATCATTTTAACATATTTTACATTTGCATAAAGATTTAAAACTTTCATTTGAACAAAATAAACTTCATTTTTAATGACTAACTAAATGTAAATATTATGAAGTCCAAAAACATCACTTTAAATAAAAAAAACTTTAAATAAGTGACGTTTTACCTCATGACTGCATTTTCCTGCGCTCCTGCTCATTTTAAAGTTTTTTTTATTCACTAAAAATATTGAACATTTTGCATATTTAACATTATTTTTTTTAAATCTATTGGACAAAAATATTACACATAACCTAATTTACAAGATTGAAACTTCAAATGGTGTTATTTACAGGTTTGAGTCCGCTCGCAATAAAAAGAATAATCAATAAATCAGTTTTTGATGGGAGAAATCAGTGTCTCGAACCAGAGACCTTCGTGCTGTGATGCGCCCTATACGCCTAATTACTGTATATTAAATGTAATGGATGATTCCTCCGGTCACAGAAGCTTGAACAGGCGTTCTCCATTTCTAAAGTTTCTCCTGCCAGAGCGACGCTGTTGACGCGTTGCCATGGTGATGCCAGGCTTATGTTCGCGCGCACTAAAACCGTCGCGCTCCCACGGGAGATCTTCTTCTTCATCATCATCATCATCATCATAAATATTAGTATTAATATCGTCATATCATATCCTCATATTGATGATGGAGCGGTATGAGGTGATCCGGCAGATCGGTCAGGGCGCCTTCGGAAAGGCGCTGCTGGTCAAACGGAGACGCGGGGACGAGCAGCTCTACGTCATCAAGGAGATCAGCCTCACACAGGTGCAGTTTCACACACAAAACACAATAATCAGTCAACATTCCGACGGATTAAGGAGAAAGAGGAGTCGAAGTCACTATCAGCTGTTAAATGGACTTCCAAACACAAGAATAATAGCGATAATAACGTTCATAGCGGCTGCTCAGCTGACTAAATGTTCCGGCAATGTTGCGGAAACGTTTCTATTTAGTTATGCCGATGTTTTTGTACAAAATCTGCAGAATTATAGTATAGTAACTAAATAGAAGAGTATAGTAACTAAAAGCACAACACATTAAATAAAAATAGCAATAACTTTCTATATTTTATTTAAGGTTTCAATGCAAATTCAACTAGGTCAAGTTTGGTGAACAAAGCAAGTCTATGTAACACAGGATATCTGCTAAAAACAGAAAATATTACTTTACAAACTGCATTGTACATAAACCATATCATTTCATTGAAAATAATTTGCACATTACTGAATAATATTACTGAAATTAAAATAAAAACTGCACAAATACAAGGAATATATAATATATAGTAACATTATATAACAGTGTTGAGGAAAGCTGCTTCTGAAAGTAATGCATTACAATATTGATTTACTCTCATAAACAGTTAGTTGTGTTACATTCTATCATAAATAATGTATTCTGCTACTTTTGCCTTACTTTTCCGGCCTGCCTGAGGCTTGATCTGTTTTCTTTTTCTTCTTCTTTAATAGAGGAGCTGTGCAATGACCAACACACTGTATAACCTTCATTTACCTATAAAAGACAAACACATCAGTATAAAATGATGTAGGATAAAGACAGTTTAAAGCAGTGTGCTTGCTGCTCAGTAAAGAAATGGTGCATTGATACTATAATCCCCTTTTGAGTTGAAGCCATCCTGCTTTCTGTCTGTTCCTACATTCTCTCATCCAGCACCAGATCCAGCGCTCATTTCTACTCAGCTGTTTAGCTTTTAAAGCGAATTAATTAAACAAAAAAGTAACTCAAATATTATTATTTCATTTTTTAAAGTAATGCATTACTTTACTCATTACTTAGAAAAGTAAAATTAATATTATGTAACTCTAACTTGGGTATATAGTATAAATACACACTCACCGGCCACTTTATTAGGTACACCTTACTAGTACTGAGCCGGCCCACTTTCACCTGCAGAACTGCCTTAATCCTTCATGTCAGAGATTCAGCAAGCTGCTGGAAATATTCCTCAGAGATTTTGCTCCATATTGTCATGATAGCATCACACAGTTGCTGCAGATTTGTCGGCTGCACATCCATGATGCCAATCTCCCGTTCCACCACATCCCAAAGCTGCTCTATTGGATTGAGCTCTGGTGACTGTGGAGGCCATTTGAGTACAGTGAACTCATCGTCATGTTCAAGACACCAGTCTGAGATGATTGAGCTTTATGACATGCTGCGTTATCCTGCTGGAAGTAGTAAAGTGTCCGGTTAGTGTATAATAACAGTAAAGCATCTACAATAACAGCATGTTCAGTATGACGATATTGTGTTGTTGAATATCAACAAGTAAAACTGACTCATCATTTAAGAAAACCTTCACAGGACATTCCCTGTTAGCAGGTATAATTTATATATTACCACCAGAACATGCATCCTAATTTAGTTTAATTCCTACAGTTGTCCGCTCGGGATAAGGAGGCGTCCCGAAAAGAAGTGACTCTTCTGTCCAAAATGAAGCATCCGAACATCGTGGCGTTTCATGAATCATTTTACGGTCAGTGTCCACATTGTATGCTCTCACTCTATTTCTCTGGTCCGCGGGTATGAGTGTGTTTACAATGGGTTTATGAATGTTGTGTGTTCTGATCCAGACAGGAACCGCCTCTACATCCTGATGGAGTACTGTGACTCTGGAGATCTGATGAACAGAATCAAGATGCAGAGAGGAAAGCCGTTCAGTGAGGCGCAGGTCCTTACAGTGTTATTACTTAAACATTACAGGGGCAGTGGGGCAGCACGGTGGCTCAGAGGTTAGCACTGTGGCCTCACAGAAAGAAGGGTCTCTGGTTTGAGTCTCGGCTGGGTCAGTTGGCGTTTATGTGTGGAGTTTGCATGTTCTCCCTGTGTTTGCGTGGGTTTCCTCCAGGTCCTCCGGTTTCCCCCACAGTCCAAACACATGCACTATAGGGGAACTGGGTAGGCTAAAATTGTCCATAGTGTATGTGTGTGAATGAGAGTGTATGGGTGTTTCCCAGTGATGGGTTGCTGCTGGAAGGGCATCCCCTGTGTAAAACATATGCTGGATAAGTTGGCGGTTCATTCCGCTGTGGCGACCCCTGATGAATAAAGGGACTAAGCTGAAAAGAAAATGAAGGAATGTTATTATTGAACATTAAAGATAATTGTGTGTAAAATGTGTGTGTGTGTGTGTGGGTGTGTGT